CACCCTACTACCTATCCCCAACGATTTAAACAAATGCAGAAAATTTGGTACAGCAAAGCTGCCGTGAAAAGGAAAACAAGCGTAACTCGCTTTTGACGATTTTTCAGGAGAGCGATTTTTCTGTTTTACCTTGTATTATCGTCGGTTCTTAAACAATCAAAGAAAACTTGGTGTCAAACTGTTCGCAATACTGCACTGAACCTAACAGTGTAAATATTTTTTACGTGGCATATAAGATATTGCTAGAAAATGGTGTAAGGTGTTTTTGCTTTTCACTCGATGCTCAAATTGCAGCGAGGCATGTAGGGAAGAAAAGCGTAACTACATTCACTCCAGTCCGGCCGGTCCAGTATGTGCAGCGCGCGGCTCCATAGCGAAATGCAAAAGAAGCGTAACTACGTAGTTACGCTTCTTTTGCTTGCGAGATCTTATGGTATCGGCGAATATGCGGTGTTTCAAATACGCCAGGACGAAAACGTCTTTTCTCCATTTCGGATGCCTAGATGCCTTTCGAAATAGCTCACGACTTTTCATGCTAAGACTTCATGCTTCATGCTTAGCAATCGCGGCCGTCAGGTCGCACCCTTCGGTGCTGGCAGGTCGGACAGGCTGGACGGCCGTGGGGTCGCCTATACCGGTGCTAGCAGGCCGGACGGCCGTGGGGTCGCCCCTGTCGGTGCTGGCAAGTAGGGCAGGTCGAGCGGCCTCCTCCTTCGGTGCTGGCAGATCGGGCAAGCTGGGCGGCCGTATGGTCAGCTCTGCCGGTGCTGGCGGGTCGGGCGGCCGTGGGGTCGCCTCCGCCGGTGCTGCAAGGCCAAGTGGCCGTGGGGTCGCCTCCTTCGGTGCTGGGAGGTCGGGCAGGCCGGGCGGCCACGTTGTCGGCTGTCGCCCCCGTTGGTGCTGGGAGGTCGGGAAGCCTAGCGGCCTTTGGGTCGCCTCTTCTGGTTCTGGCAGGTCGGGCAAGCCGGGCGGTCGTGGGGGTCACCTCTGCCGGTGCTGGCGGGTCGGGTGGCCGTGGGGTCGCTTTGTTTTGTGCTGGCAGGCCGGGCGGCCATGTTTTCGTCACTGTCAGTTCTGACAGTCCGCGCAGTCGCGGGGTTTCATCTGTCTGTGCTGGCAGGCCGAACAGGCCGGACGGTCTTGGGGTAGCCTCTGCTGTTGCTGGCAGGCCGGGCAGCCGTGGGGTCGCCTCTGCCGGTGCTGGCAGGCCGAGCAGCCGTGGGGTCGTCTCTGCCGGTACTGGCAGGTCGGGCAGGCCGGGCGGCCACGTTGTCGTCTCTGCCGGTGCTGGCAGGCCTGGCGGCCTTGGGGTAGCCTCTGCCGTTGCTGGCAGGCCGGGCAGCCGTGGGGTCGCCTCTGCCGGTGCTGGCAGGTCGGGCAATTCGGGCGGCCGTGGGGTCGCCTCCGCCGGTGCCACAAGGCCAAGTGGCCGTGGGGTCGCCTCCTTGGGTGCTGGCAGGTCAGGCTTCCTTGGGGTTGCCCCTGTCGGTGCTGGGAGGTCGGGCAGGCCGGGCGGCCACGTTGTCGGCTGTCGCCCATGTTGGTGCTGGGAGGTCGGGAAGCCTGGCGGCCTTTGGGTCGCCTCTTCTGGTGCTGGCAGGTCGGGCGGCCGTGGGGTCACCTCTGCCGATGCTGGCGGGTCAGGCGGCCGTGGGGTCGTCTTTGCCGGTTCTGGCAGGCCGGGAGGGCGTGGGCTCAACTCTGCCGGTGCTGGCAAGTCGGGCGGCCGTGGGGTCGCCTCATTTCGTGCTGGCAGGCCGGGTGGCCGTGGGGTCGCCTCCTTCGGTGCTGGCAGGTCAGGCTTCCTTGGGGTTGCCCCTGTCGGTGCTGGGAGGTCGGGCAGGCCGGGCGGCCACGTTGTCGGCTGTCGCCCATGTTGGTGCTGGGAGGTCGAGAAGCCTAGCGGCCTTTGGGTCGCCTCTTCTGGTTCTGGCAGGTCGGGCAAGCCGGGCGGTCGTGGGGGTCACCTCTGCCGGTGCTGGCGGGTCGGGTGGCCGTGGGGTCGCTTTGTTTCGTGCTGGCAGACCGGGCGGCCATGTTTTCGTCCCTGTCAGTTCTGACAGTCCGCGCAGTCGCGGGGTTTCATCTGTCTGTGCTGGCAGGCCGAACAGGCCGGACGGCCTTGGGGTAGCCTCTGCTGTTGCTGGCAGGCCGGACAGCCGTGGGGTCGCCTCTGCCGGTGCTGGCAGGCCGGGCAGCCGTGGGGTCGCCTCTGCCGGTGCTGGCAGGTCGGGCAGGCTGGGCGGCCACGTTGTCGCCTCTGCCGGTGCTGGCAGGCCTGGCGGCCTTGTGGTAGCCTCTGCCGTTGCTGGCAGGCCGGGCAGCCGTGGGGTCGCCTCCGCCGGTGCTGCAAGGCCAAGTGGCCGTGGGGTCGCCTCCTTGGGTGCTGGCAGGTCGGGCTTCCTTGGGGTTGCCCCTGTCGGTGCTGGGAGGTTGGGAAGCCTGGCGGCCTTTGGGTCGCCTCTTCTGGTGCTGGCAGGTCGGGCGGCCGTGGGGTCACCTCTGCCGATGCTGGCGGGTCAGGCGGCCGTGGGGTCGTCTTTGCCGGTGCTGGCAGGCCGGGAGGGCGTGGGCTCAACTCTGCCGGTGCTGGCAGGTCGGGCGGCCGTGGGGTCGCCTCATTTCGTGCTGGCAGGCCGGGTGGCCACGTTTTCCCCTCTGTCAGTTCTGACAGTCCGAGCGGCCGCGGGGTTTCATCTGTCTGTGCTGGCAGGCCGGGCGGCCGTGGTGCCGTTGGGTCGCCTATGCCGGTGCTGGCTGGCAGGCCGGGCGGCCGTGGTGCCGTTGGGTCGCCTATGCCGGTGCTGGCAGGTCGGGCGGCCTTGGGGTCGCCCTTGTTGGTGCTGGGAGGTCGGGCAAGCCGGGCGGCCGTATGGTCAGCTCTGCCGGTGCTGGCGGGTCGGGCGGCCGTCGGGTCGCCTCCACCGGTGCTGGCAGGCCGGGCGGCCACGTTGTCGCCTCTGCCGTTGCTGGCAGGCCGGGCAGCCGTGGGGTCGCCTCTGCCGGTGCTGGCAGGTCGGGTAAGCCGGGCGGCCGTGGGGTCACCTCTGTCGGTGCTGGCGGGTCGGGCAAGCCGGGCGGCCGTGGGGTCACCTCTGCCGGTGCTGCAAGACCAAGCGGCCGTGGGGTCGCTTTGTTTCGTGCTGGCAGACCGGGCGGCCATGTTTTCGTCCCTGTCAGTTCTGACAGTCCGCGCAGTCGCGGGGTTTCATCTGTCTGTGCTGGCAGGCCGAACAGGCCAGACGGCCTTTGGGCAGCCTCTGCTGTTGCTGGCAGGCCGGGCAGCCGTGGGGTCTCGCCTCTGCCGGTGCTGGCAGGCGGGGCAGGCCGGGCGGCCACGTTGTCGCCTCTGCCGGTGCTGGAAGGGGGGCAGCCGTGGGGTCGCCTCTGCCGGTGCTGGAAAGGGGGCAGCCGTGGGGTCGCCTCTGCCGGTGCTGGCAGGCCGGGCGGCCACGTTGTCGCCTCTGCCGGTGCTGGCAGGTCGGGCAGGCCGGGCGGCCACGTTGTCGCCTCTGCCGGTGCTGGCAGGCCTGGCGGCCTTGGGGTAGCCTCTGCCGTTGCTGGCAGGCCGGGCAGCCGTGGGCTCGCCTCTGTCGGTGCTGGCGGGTCGGGCAAGCCGGGCGGCCGTGGGGTCACCTCTGCCGGTGCTGCAAGGCCAAGCGGCCGTGGGGTCGCCTCCTTCGGTGCTGGCAGGTCAGGCTCCCTTGGGGTCGCCCCTGTCGGTGCTGGGAGGTCGGGCAGGCCGGGCGGCCACGTTGTCGGCTGTCGCCCCCGTTGGTGCTGGGAGGTCGGGAAGCCTGGCGGCCTTTGTATCGCCTCTTCTGGTGCTGGCAGGTCGGGCAAGCCGGGCGGCCGTGGGGTCACCTCTGCCGATGCTGGCGGGTCAGGCGGCCGTGGGGTCGTCTTTGCCGGTGCTGGCAGGCCGGGCGGGCGTGGGGCCGTTGGGTCGCCTATGCCGGTGCTGGCAGGTCGGGCGGCCTTGGGGTCGCCCCTGTCGGTGCTGGCAGGTCAGGCCTGGGGGGGGGCCCTGTCGGGGCTGGCAGACCGGGCAAGCCGGGCGGCCATATGGTCAGCTCTGCCGGTGCTGGCTGGCCGGGCGGCCATGTGGGGTTGGGTCGCCTCTCTTAATGCTGGGATGTCGAAATGCAGGTGGGAAGATCCCGCCCCTGATCGTCCTATTTCACCAGAACTCGCTCGACTCTACTCCTGATTTCACATTTTCCTTTAGCTGCACGTGGACCTTTGTTCCGTTTTTTTTATCGCTTAGTTCTAAACCTCTTCAGAGACCAAGTCTGCTCCTAAACCGCAATTTGCACACGCTTCTGATAAGAGTTCACAGCGAGCATGCACCACAATAAATAAAGTAAACTATTTGATATCGCTCGTGTGGCCTTGGTCCAGGGTATGGCATGGCACCCCATACCTATACCTACTATTTCAAGTTGGTGGTTTTGAACTTTGGTTGCTTTTATCTTACAGTTTTCCTCCATTCAAACGCCCGGATACCTACTAGAAGATATTGGTGAAACATAGAAAGGCGGCAAACGCAAGCAAGAAGGGCTTAATACATTTTTAATGCAAATTTCCTTGGCAAAATTAAACTTCTACCAAGTGTTATGCATTCACCTGAAAGGCAAAAAAGCGCAAGTGCGTAAAAGTCAGCGCGGTGATAAGCAAGAAAAGCGCAACTACGTAGTTGCGCTTTTCTTGCCTATCACATCGTCCTGACCGCTGCAGATACGCTTTTTTAATAGCTGCGTTTGTAGTTACGCTTTTTTTGCTTGCGGTCAGGGAGGATGAAAAAAATTTACGCTTTTCTCGAAAAAGAAAATTTGATATAACTCGAAAAATAATACGAATTTCGAAAAACGGTTTTGCAGAAAGATGGAGATTGCTATTCTCTATCTAATGGTATCAAAATCTCAAAATCGAAAAAATGCGAGTTACGCTTTTCTTGGTTGTCACGGCAGAAAGGTTAAAGAAAGTAAACGCATACTTACCATTTTCAATGGAAATTTTGACAGCTCGTACACTTCCATTGCGGCAGTTGCCAAAGAATGTCACCAATTCATCATTAGCTGTTATTCCAGTTTGGTGAGACATGGTTTAACAAACAGTGCAATCCTGAAAATAAAAAAATGAATATGAGTTAATTGAAAAGGATGTGATCCAAACATGCTGCTTAGTGCATACAGACCAGCAAGACTCAAAGTGACATCTGCAATACAAAATGCATCAATGATATCAATTCTTTATCTAACATATCAACCTTGCCATAATGTCAATTGTTGGACAAGTATTGTATTGATGACTGATTTAATGGGACATAACAAATTGATATGGATGGCTTATTCCACCTTAATTGTTCCTAGCTCCTATGGTGATCACATTCGATGTTATAAGGCATCCAGGGTCCAATGATGGCAAGACTATCATCTTAAATGTTGCTCAGCTCAGCAAAATCAGAATGTATGGTACAAATGACCTGTGAAACCGGCAGTAAGATGCCATAGGTACAGGATCTTGCTTTTTAAAAGCTGCATAAAAATGCAAACTGTCAACTGTAGGCAAGCCCATCCACATTCTACACAATCTACAGTCATGAATTGCAAAGTAACTCAACAAACTGGTGGCCGTTCATGAGAGGTCGAGGTACCCTCTGGGCATATTGGTATATGTCAAGTTTAGGTCCTAACTACAATTGTGACGCTGTTGATACGAATATGTAACAGCAAAAATTTTAGGTTTTAGGTTAGGTTAGGTTGTAGGTTTGTAGGTTTTAGGTTGTAGGTAGGTTTGTAGGTTTTAGGTTGTTAGGTTGTTAGGTTGTAGGTTTGTAGGTTGTAGGTTGGTAGGTAGGTTATAGGTAAGTAGGTAAGGTTAGGTCAGGTTTGATTGTTTTTTCTTTTATTTAGTTATTCATTTGAGTAGGATTTTTTAGTTATTCATTTGAGTAGGATTGCGGGTTTTTTGAAACGTTGAGTTTTTGCAGCGAGCTTTTTCTCTTAGGGCTTGCGAGATAGCTGCGTGCACACATATCTCTTCAACATTGCGCGCCTCACAGGAATGCGGCTGATTCACGTGCTTTTGTGAGCGAGGTGCTTCCCTCCGGGAGAAATTCGCCGTCCCCATATGCTTAACACAGAGCCGAGCGGCGGCTGACAGGTGGCCGGCTCTCGGGAGATCGGCAGCCGACACTCGAAAAATCGACAAGCCGCCGCTGAATGCGCGTGCGGCAGTGCTGAGCCGAGTCGTTCCCACGGTCTGAGGTACCCCCAGTTTGAAGATTCGGCTGTAGAATATGTAGTTTTAAATACGTAGTTTGACGTAAATCTCGGAAAAGTGAGATACGGCCAGAAATGAGTGTGGGTCCCTCCGTTCTGAAGATTCTGATCGACGCCGATTGAAATAATTCGCCGTGCATATCTCGGCTTATTGACGACCGATTGACACGGGATAAACACCGATCGATACCAAATGGCTCTGTGTGTGTGTGTGGGGGGGGGGGGGGAGTAGAGTGGCAAGTTTTCCTACCCGACGAACCCGGAATTATCCCGAGGGGGTAGGTGTGGGAGTAGAGTCGGGGGAACGGGGGGCGAGTGCAAGTACCAAGTACTTTCGCAGTACCAAGCAAGTACCAAGTACTTATGGAAATACCAAGCAAGTACCAAGTACTTTGGCAAATACCGAGTACTTATGCAAATACCAAGCAAGTACCAAGTACTTTGGCAAGTACCGAGTACTTTGGCAAGTACCAAGCAAGTACCAAGTACTTTTGCAAGTTCAGCAAGTTTTTCGCCAATATCGAAGCTTCTAGACGTCCAATCGTCACCGGAAAAACACCATTCGATCCCAAATTTTCTCCCGAATCTCTTTATGGCCAAAGCGACGCGGAGCGAGCCAAGATATCTTGTTTGCTAGACATATGAGTATCATTTTTGGATTCAGGATGTCAAATAATGTAAAAATATGAAAAATTTATCAATGAAATCTGCTTAAGACTTAAACTTGACAATTACCGGCATATTTCACGACCCCAGCAATAGCAAGATGAATTGGACTTTGAATGCCCACTCTTTGGATGCTGATGAAACAGATCAAGGTAGGTACCATTGACCGATAGGGAAATGACAGATATACATAAATGCAGATAAATTGTGGTTATCATTGCAGTTGAATGCTTCTGAACGCAACCTGAAATCACGAATGTTAGGTACCTTCTGTGAAATAAGATCTACTTCTTCAACAAAACCAAAACCAAGAACAAAACCAAACCCAATGCGTATGTTTGGTTTTCAACAAACCCACGGCCTATAACAAAGTAAGTAACTTGAACTAGCCCTACTGATCTACCCACCACACACAAAAATGTCATCGGTACATAAAGGGCCTTAAATTTCATCAAAAATGAAAACCTGTTTTTCCGGTATATTGATATAGATCCTGATAATGATAACAAACTTTAGGACCTTGCATCAAAAACCAGTGACAAAATAAATTAAGGTACAAGAAAAAAGGTACCGAAAAGCTTTACGGGGTAAATTGATGGGCTTCTGATGGTCACGAAAAACATCCAGAACACGGATCTTTTCTAACTTTTCTACCATACCCATTCTCAAATTTCAGTAGGAAAATGAGTCATTTCCAAGACCATTCCTTACTCTGCAGATTATACCAATTATTTCTATGATGTCTTAGCATAGATTATTTGTCTTAGTCTATACTTTCTTTTTTTGAATAATCGGAATTTGAAAATAAGTGATTAGTTCTAACAGGGATGAATTTCTAGTATAGGACTGCCGTGACGTTATTTTGGGAACGACTAACCCCGCACAAAGTCCAAAACCGAAACATCCAAAACCGCACCGTCCAAAAACGTATCATCCAAAAAACGCAACATCCAAAGACGCAACATCCAAAGTACGTAACCTCCAAAACCACAACGTCCAAGACCACGACATCCAAGGCACGCAACATCCAAAACCAACCTAACCTAACCTAACCTAACCTAACCTAACCTAACCGAACCTAACCTAACCTACTGATTTTTGCCTATCCCTAACCCAACCTAACCTAACCTAACCTACTGATTTTTGCCTACCGGGGATAAAGAAACCTAACCTAACCTAACCTAACCTAACCTAACCTAACCTAACCTAACCTAACCTAACCTAACCTAACCTAACCTAACCTAACCTAACCTAACCTAACCCAACCCAACCCAACCTAACCTAACCTACTGATTTATGCCTACCGGGCATAAGGAAACCTAACCTAACCTAACCTAGCCTAACCTAACCTAACCTAACGGTTTTGGATGTTGCGTACTTTGGATGTTGCGTACTTTGGATGTTGCGTACTTTGGATGATGCGTCCTTGGATGTTGCGTTTTTGGATGATACGTTTTGGATGTTGCGGTTTTGGATGTATCGGTTTTGGACGTTGTGAATGCTCCCTATATACCCGATTTTGGACGTATTTTGGACGTTGCGTACTTTGGACGCTGCGGTTTTGGATGTTGCGTACTTTGGATGCTGCGGTTTTGGACGCTTTGATGGTCCCCCGTTCTATACAGGGTGCGGAAAAAGTTCTGTCATATGCATGGTAAGCTCGCCTACGCGCGCTGCGGTTGAGTTCTGGGCAGCGAATAGCCGCAGGCGTAACCTTCGGTGACCTAGCCACCTGGCTGGAGGGCAGAAACTACCAGCCATTCACGGTCAGTCATGAATAGGCAGGCTAAACGTTGCCTCGTCGCTGGGTGCCTGCGCGCGGCGGCCGGATCGGGCATGACCGATAAGCGGGTTGCGGCAAAATGTGGAGTCACCTGGCGAACAGTCATGCGCATTAATGTCCGTGAACTTAGCGACGTATACGTATACGTATTCAGCGACGAATTCCAAATCACTTCAGATTCATGGCATGAGTTAAGTTGACCATGCTGAACACGAATATGACATTTATTTTAACTTTTGAGCTGATCTTCATGGTTAAAATCCGGTTTAAATGACGGGGAACCGCATAACGTCGCGAAAATAAAAACCCACGAATTCCAAAGTATGTGCAAAATGTAGAGCTCATCCAGATCTAACGTCCGTGGAAGAATCCAAGCTCGTGGCTCAACGCCGTCATGGTTAAAATCCGGTTTAAATGACGGGGAACCGCATAACGTCGCGAAAATAAAAACCCACGAATTCCAAAATATGTGCAAAATGTAGAGCTCATGCAGATCTAACGTCCGTGGAAGAATCCAAGTTCGTGGCTCTTTAACTTCATGGTTAATATCTGGTTTAAATGACGGGGAACCGCATAACGTCACGAAATTAAGAACCCACGAATTCCAAAGTATGTGCAAAATGTAGATCTCATCCAGATCTAACGTCCGTGGAAGAATCCAAGCTCGTGGCTCAACGCCGTCATGGTTAAAATCCGGTTTAAATGACGGGGAACCGCATAACGTCGCGAAAATAAAAACCCACGAATTCCAAAGTATGTGCAATATGTAGAGCTCATCCAGATCTAACGTTCGTGGAAGAATCCAAGCTCGTGGCTCAACGCCGTCATGGTTAAAATCCGGTTTAAATGACGGGGAACCGCATAACGTCGCGAAAATAAAAACCCACGAATTCCAAAGTACGTGCAAAATGTAGAGCTCATCCAGATCTAACGTCCGTGGAAGAATCCAAGTTCGTGGCTCTTTAACTTCATGGTTAATATCTGGTTTAAATGACGGGGAACCGCATAACGTCGCGAAAATAAGAACCCACGAATTCCAAAGTATGTGCAAAATGTAGAGCACATCCAGATCTAACGTCCGTGGAAGAATCCAAGCTCGTGGCTCAACGCCGTCATGGTTAAAATCCGGTTTAAATGACGGGGAACCGCATAACGTCGCGAAAATAAAAACCCACGAATTCCAAAGTATGTGCAAAATGTAGAGCTCATCCAGATCTAACGTCCGTGGAAGAATCCAAGCTCGTGGCTCAACGCCTTCATGGTTAAAATCCGGTTTAAATGACGGGGAACCGCATAACGTCGCGAAAATAAAAACCCACGAATTCCGAAATATGTGCAAAATGTAGAGCTCATCCAGATCTAACGTCCGTGGAAGAATCCAAGCTCCTGGCTCTTTAACTTCATGGTTAATATCTGGTTTAAATGACGGGGAACCGCATAACGTTGCGAAAATAAGAACCCACGAATTCCAAAGTATGTGCAAAATGTAGAGCTCATCCAGATCTAACGTCCGTGGAAGAATCCAAGCTCGTGGCTCAACGCCGTCATGGTTAAAATCCGGTTTAAATGACGGGGAACCGCATAACGTCGCGAAAATAAGAACCCACGAATTCCAAAGCATGTGCAAAATGTAGAGCTCATCCAGATCTAACGTCCGTGGCAGAATCCAAGCTCGTGGCTCTTTAACTTCATGGTTAATATCTGGTTTAAATGACGGGGAACCGCATAACATCGCGAAAATAAAAACCCACGAATTCCAAAGTATGTGCAAAATGTAGAGCTCATTCAGATCTAACGTCCGTGGCAGAATCCAAGCTCGTGGCTCTTTAACTTCATGGTTAATATCTGGTTTAAATGACGGGGAACCGCATAACGTCGCGAAAATAAGAACCCACGAATTCCAAAGTATGTGCAAAATGTAGAGCTCATCCAGATCTAACGTCCGTGGAAGAAATCAAGCTCGTGGCTTAACGCCGTCATGGTTCAAATCCGGTTTAAATGACGGGGAACCGCAAAACGTCGCGAAAATAAAAACCCACGAATTCCAAAGTATGTGCAAAATGTAGTGCTCATCCAGATCTAACGTCCGTGGAAGAATCCAAGTTCGTGGCTCTTTAACTTCATGGTTAATATCTGGTTTAAATGACGGGGAACCGCATAACGTCGCGAAAATAAAAACCCACGAGTTCCAAAGTATGTGCAAAATAAAGAGCTCATCCAGATCTAACGTCCGTGGAAGAATCCAAGCTCGTGGCTCAATGCCTTCATGGTTAAAATCCGGTTTAAATGACGGGGAACCGCTAAACGTCGCGAAAATAAAAACCCACCAATTTCAAAGTATGTGCATGGATGAGCTCTACATTTTGCACATGCTTTGGAATTCGTGAGTTTTTATTTTCGCGACGTTATGCGTTCTCCGTCATTTAAACCGGATTTTAACCATGAAGGCGTTGAGCCACGAGCTTGGATTCTTCCACGGACGTTAGACCTGGATGAGTTCTACATTTTACACATACTTTAGAATTCGTGGGCTTTTATTTTAGCGACGTTTTGCGGTTCCCCGTCATTTAAACCAGATATTAACCATGAAGTTAAAGAGCCACGAACTTGGATTCTTCCACGGACGTTAGATCTGGATGAGTTCTACATTTTGCACATATTTTGGAATTCGTGGGTTCTTATTTTCGCGACGTTATGCGGTTCCCCTTCATTTAAACCAGATATTAACTATGAAGTTTAAGAGCCACGAACTTGGATTCTTCCACGGACGTTAGATCTGGATGAGCTCTACATTTTGCACATACTTTGGAATTCGTGGGTTTTATTTTCGCGACGTTATGCGGTTCCCCGTCATTTAAACCAGATATTAACCATGAAGTTAAAGAGCCACGAACTTGGATTCTTGCACGGACGTTAGATCTGGATGAGCACTACATTTTGCACATACTTTGGAATTCGTGGGTTTTTATTTTCGCGACGTTATGCGGTTCCCCGTCATTTAAACCGGATTTTAACCATGACGGCGTTAAGCCACGAGCTTGGATTCTTCCACGGACGTTAGATCTGGATGAGCTCTACATTTTGCACATACTTTGGAATTCGCGGGTTCTTATTTTTGCGAAGTTATGCGGTTCCCCGTCATTTAAACCAGATATTAACCATGAAGTTAAAGAGCCACGAACTTGGATTCTTCCACGGACGTTAGATCTGGATGAGCTCTACATTTTGCACATACTTTGGAATTCGTGGGTTTTTATTTTCGCGACGTTATGCGGTTCCCCGTCATTTAAACCGGATTTTAACCATGACGGCGTTGAGCCATGAGCTTGGATTCTTCCACGGACGTTAGATCTGGATGAGCTCTACATTTTGCACACACTTTGGAATTGGTGGGTTTTTATTTTCGCGACGTTATGCGGTTCCCCGTCATTTAAACCAGATATTAACCATGAACTTAAAGAGCCACGAACTTGGATTCTTCCACGGACGTTAGATTTGAATGAGCACTACATTGTGCACATACTTTGGAATTCGTGGGTTTTTATTTTCGCGACGTTATGCGGTTCCCCATCATTTAAACCGGATTTTAACCATGACGGCGTTGAGCCACGAGCTTGGATTCTTCCACGGACGTTAGATCTGGATGAGCTCTACATTTTGCACATACTTTGGAATTCGCGGGTTTTTATTTTCGCGACGTTATGCGGTTCCCCGTCATTTAAACCGGATTTTAACCATGAAGGCGTTGAGCCACGAGCTTGGATTCCTCCACGGACGTTAGATCTGGATGAGCTCTACATTTTGCACATACTTTGGAATTTGTGGGTTTTTATTTTCGCGACGTTATGCGGTTCCCCGTCATTTAAACCAGATATTAACCATGAAGTTAAAGAGCCACGAACTTCGATTCTTCCACGGACGTTAGATCTGGATGAGTTCTACATTTTGCACATATTTTAGAATTCGTGGGTTCTTATTTTCGCGACGTTATGTGGTTCCCCGTCATTTAAACCAGATATTAACTATGAAGTTAAAGAGCCACGAACTTGGATTCTTCCACGGACGTTAGATCTGGATGAGCTCTACATTTTGCACATACTTTGGAATTCGTGGGTTTTTATTTTCGCGACGTTATGCGGTTCCCCGTCATTTAAACCAGATATTAACCATGAAGTTAAAGAGCCACGAACTTGGATTCTTCCACGGACGTTAGATCTGGATGAGCACTACATTTTGCACATACTTTGGAATTCGTGGGTTTTTATTTTCGCGACGTTATGCGGTTCCCCGTCATTTAAACCGGATTTTAACCATGACGGCGTTGAGCCACGAGCTTGGATTCTTCCACGGACGTTAGATCTGGATGAGCTCTACATTTAGCACATACTTTGGAATTCGCGGGTTTTTATTTTCGCGACGTTATGCGGTTCCCCGTCATTTAAACCGGATTTTAACCATGAAGGCGTTAAGCCACGAGCTTGGATTCTTCCACGGACGTTAGATCTGGATGAGCTCTACATTTTGCACATACTTTGGAATTTGTGGGTTTTTATTTTCGCGACGTTATGCGGTTCCCCGTCATTTAAACCGGATTTGAACCATGACGGCGTTAAGCCACGAGCTTGAACTCTTCCACGGTCGTTAGATCTGGATGAGCTCTACATTTTGCGCATACTTTGGAATTCGTGGGTTCTTATTTTCGCGACGTTATGCGGTTCCCCGTCATTTAAACCAGATATTAACCATGAAGTTAAAGAGCCACGAACTTGGATTCTTCCACGGACGTTAGATCTGGATGAGCTTTACATTTTGCACATACTTTGGAATTGGTGGGTTTTTATTTTCGCGATGTTATGCGGTTCCCCGTCATTTAAACCAGATATTAACCATGAAGTTAAAGAGCCACGAGCTTGGATTCTGCCACGGACGTTAGATCTGGATGAGCTCTACATTTTGCACATACTTTGGAATTCGTGGGTTTTTATTTTCGCGATGTTATGCGGTTCCCCGTCATTTAAACCAGATATTAACCATGAAGTTAAAGAGCCACGAGCTTGGATTTTGCCACGGACGTTAGATCTGGATGAGCTCTACATTTTGCACATACTTTGGAATTGGTGGGTTCTTATTTTCGCGACGTTATGCGGTTCCCCGTCATTTAAACCGGATTTTAACCATGAAGGCGTTGAGCCACGAGCTTGGATTCTTCCACGGACGTTAGATCTGGATGAGCTCTACATTTTGCACATACTTTGGAATTCGTGGGTTCTTATTTTCGCAACGTTATGCAGTTCCCCGTCATTTAAACCAGATATTAACCATGAAGTTAAAGAGCCACGAGCTTGGATTCTTCCACGGACGTTAGATCTGGATGAGCTCTACATTTTGCACATATTTTGGAATTCGTGGGTTTTTATTTTCGCGACGTTATGCGGTTCCCCGTCATTTAAACCGGATTTTAACCATGAAGGCGTTGAGCCACGAGCTTGGATTCTTCCACGGACGTTAGATCTGGGTGAGCTCTACATTTTGCACATACTTTGGAATTCGTGGGTTTTTATTTTCGCGACGTTATGCGGTTCCCCGTCATTTAAGCCGGATTTTAACCATGAAGATCAGCTCAAAAGTTAAAATAAATGTCATATTCGTGTTCAGCATGGTCAACTTAACCCATGCCATGAATCTGAAGTGATTTGGAATTCGTCGCTGAATACGTATACGTATACGTCGCTAAGTTCACGGACATTGCGCATTAAAGCCCAAATACGAGCAGGGGAGACTGTCGATCCGATGGTTCGATTCAATCCGGTGAATAAACATCCACACAAGGTGATGGTGCTCGGCGTGGTGGGTTCGGACGGCAAGAAATGCCAAATGAGCCTCATTGACGCCAATGAGAAGGTGAAGAGGGCGGTGTACGAACGTCAACTGGACAATGACGTCATCCCATGGATCCTGGAGACCTATCCAGATGGCAATTTTGTGTCCCAGCAGGACACACTGCTGGCAAAACAGCCTGTGCACACTGCAAATTCCACCCAGCAGAAGCTGACGGAAGAGCTCGGAGAGCGGCCCATCTCTGGCGCAAGGAGATGTGGCCCCCTCAGTCACCCGACCTGAACTCACTCGACTACGGCATCTGGAGCGTATTGCAGGAGGAGGTCCAGGGAGTGTCTCATCCCAATGTAGAGGCTTTCAAGGCGCACATCGTGAAGACGTGGGAGGCGATGGACCCCGCCTACATCTTCAAAACATGCCAGTCTTTCCGCCCCCGTGTGGAGAAGGTTATAGCCGCTGAAGGGGGTTATATTGAGTGAGGGGGGAGTGAAAGCATTCGGTAAGATGTGGCAAACCAGTGTTTGGTGGTTTTATAAAATATAGCTGCTCAGGTTGCACTTGTTTGTGGAAATGCGGAAATATGACAGAACTTTGTCCGCACCCTGTATACCCTGAACCCCGCGTTCGATGTCTCTCGGACGACGAAGATTCTAGTATGTCGTCCGGCCAATCCCGTCCAAGGTCAGCGGGGGCTCGGCTGCGTATTTACAAATTGCAACCGAGCTCCGCCGTAGGGTATTTTATTTCCGCCGTAGTGTATTTAACTTGGGGGATTTTCTATCATACATCTGCCTGAGCTTAGGGTAATTACAATTTGTCGGCGACGTTAAAAAATGATGCACCTTTTTTCGCAGTATAGGATATCGCATGTGCATATTTCTGCCTTTTTGGGTGCGCTTTATCGGTTTTTCGTGAGTAACTCGCGTAAAAACCGTCCGATCGCGACGAAACTTTCAATGCCCCCGATTTTATCAATTTTACACCTACCCTGAAAATTTCATGACCCTGACCCAAATGACCTTTGACCTGTGACCTATTTCTCGAGACCATATTTGGCCCGAATCGCGATTCGGCGTATGTCGGCTCGCATTATGCCGCGCGGTTGCAGTTTTCACGTGGTTTCAAGCGTTGAAACATGTGATATGATGCTGGTCCCATGCACTAGGGTGGATGTCGAGGTCACCTGAAGGTCAGGTCAGCTCAATGACCTTTGATGACCTCGGTTGCTTTTTCGAGTTCAAGTTTTACATGTTTCTAGGCTAGTTTTTTTTAGCTGATTTCGAATGTAGCAACCATTTGAACATTACAGGGGGTGTAACGAAATTATCCGGACACCTTTCTTCCCGCTGTAATTAAAAAGCAAAACAATCTGGTACTTTTTCTGTGGCTTGAATCAGGCATCAGTGCGCGTTCAGAAACCGTGCCCTCCTATGCCGTCTGGTTGAGCGCCTCCAATCATGCTCCACCACCTTCCCTGGAAAAGCTCCACCCTTGCCTATGGGGCAAATTGCAAAATATAAGGGACAAAAACACAAAACAAGACAGATAAAAACAAAGCAAAATTAACTCATTACCTAATGAAATTCATGCTTGAGCAAAAACATAGGTAATAGGCCTATCTATGTCAAAATAGAATGAAAGATTAAAATCAACCTGACCAGGCCTTACGGTCTGACCTGGTCCTAACCACCTTACTTCGCCTAACTTAACCCAATTCAACCTGCCTACTGTAATGTACCCGTGATGCCAGCGGCAGCGCTACCGCCAACACCCGTTCTATCCCCCGACAGCCGTCTGCCACCCGGCCGTGGTGGTCCAACTATTGCATTTACTTTACTTTGGCATCCGGTGGACAGGGAATGCATCACCTTTGGGCACACACGGTTGGGTCGCGCACCCTCGTGGGTTGCGGTGTGCATTACACCGTCTTAATTGCAAGTTACGTTATTATTACATTTACGTTACGTTAATGTTTAAACTCCGTGACTCATTCATTATCTCCGTCTTTCGTCTCTCGTCTCGAATGTCTCTCTCTGCCAAACAAGATAAAGATTTCTGCTCCGTTATTATTTATATAAAACAAGTATAACGCCAAAGAATGAAACAAGACTGCTCGGGAATGTACGTCTACGGGAAATTGCGTCGCCTCAGAATAAACGCGCAGATTAGCCTAACATACCCTAACACGCGCAATCTACACATTTACTTTACCTTGCTCCTAGCCTAGCTAGGGAGGCGGGGTGAGCACAAAGCCCCATCCTCCGGGTCAGCGGGACACCTACCTCGAGCGAAGCCACCACACGAGAGCCCCGATCGGCCGGCGCTCACGCGTTATAACCCAGCTCGAGGCGGGAGTCGGAACGGTCAGCCCGCCCGAGGTGAAAGCCAGCCTCGCGTTCCGACGCGGCGCCCGTCGACCAGGAAAACCTATTCCTACAGGCGCGGGCTTTACATAAATACCCCCTTCTCCGCAAGGTGGGTTAAATCCCCTTACTTCCGGGGAGGGGGTCTTTAGTAAAGCCTTACAGTCGACAGATTTGGACGTTCCGAAAAAATGCACCGACCGCGATAACACATGTAGCAGGGATACGGAGCAGCCTTCAAGCGGAGCAACAGCAAGTCATACACACATTAGACATATTTACAGACATCGGACATTTACACAGACATTCAGGTGCATGAGGGTGGCAGCGTTCGGCCACCCCTGGGGCGGCATTCCCCGGTCTGTAGCAGCGGGCAGCAGTGGGGCGGCAGACTACTGCGCTTGCCGCTTGCGATGTAGCGTGGGCCGCTGCAGTGGGGCGGCAGCAGACAGCAGGCAGCCGGCAGGAGCTTCGGGCCGCGGCAGGCGGGCTGCTGGCAGCGGGCAAACAGCCTGCAGAGGGCAGGCAGCCGGCAGCGGGCGGCAGCAGATAGCAGGCAGCCGGTTCGGGCCGCAGTAGGCGGGCTGCTGGCAGCGGGCAGGCAGGCGGCAGCGGGCAGCAGCAGACAGTAGGCAGGCAGCCGCCAGCAGCTTCGGGCCGCAGCAGGCGGGCTGCTGGAAGCGGGCAAGCATCCGGCAGCTGGCGGCAGCAGACAGCAAGCAGCCGGCAGCGGGCAGGCAGCAGACAGCGGGCAGCAGCAGACAGCAGGCAGGCAGCCGGCAGCAGCTTCGGGCCGCAGCAGACGGGCTGCTGGCAGCGGGCAAGCAGCCGGCAGAGGGCAGACAGCCGGCAGCGGGCAGCAGCAGACAGCAGGCAGGCGGCATGCAGCTGCCGGGCTGCCGGCAGCGGGCAGGCAGGTCGGCAGCGGGCAGGCAGCCGGCATCGGGCGGCAGCAGACAGCAGGCAGCCGGCAGCGGGCCCGGACCGCAGCAGTGGGCGGCGGAGCCCGGGCTGCAGCAGCAGATCGCCATAGTGGGGCGCAGCGGTGGGTGGCAACGCTTGGCTGCCACCGCAGGGGGCAGCGCCCGGTCGGGCGCAGCAGCTCCTTTCCTTGATCCGCCTCTGTTGGCGGCGCCCAGGCTGATTCAGCAGCAGGCCGCCCGCAGCGCCACCTGTAGTCGTAGACTCGTAGGGTCTTCCACCACCGGCGGCGGCCTCGGCTGGTGACGCCCTCTTGGTCGCGCCGTCTGCTGCCACTTGGTGGCGCTAGCAGCGACGCTCTCTCGGCGAGCGCCCTCTTGGTCGCGCCGTCTACTGCCACTTGGTGGCGCTAGCAGCGACGCTCTCTCGGCGAGCGCCCTCTTGGTCGCGCCGTCTGCTGCCACTTGGTGGCGCTAGCAGCGACGCTCTCTCTCGCTCGCTTCAGGCGGCGGACGGCAGGCGGCGCCCGTGGCGACGACGCTCGGTACTCCGGCGGCGGCGTCCTTGGCTGGTGACGCTCTCATGGTCGCGCCGACTGCTGCCACTAGGTGGCGCTAGCGACGGCGCTCTCTCGGCGACACCTCCTCTCTCCTTGCGGCGCGCGGCGGACGACGGCGTGATGCCTCCGACATTCCGACCGTCGCCTCCATTCCTCTCCGGCGAGCGCCCTCTTGGTCGCGCCGTCTGCTGCCACTTGGTGGCGCTAGCAGCGACGCTCTCTCTCGCTCGCTTCAGGCGGCGGACGGCAGGCGGCGCCCGTGGCGACGACGCTCGGTACTCCGGCGGCGGCGTCCTTGGCTGGTGACGCTCTCATGGTCGCGCCGACTGCTGCCACTAGGTGGCGCTAGCGACGGCGCTCTCTCGGCGACACCTCCTCTCTCCTTGCGGCGCGCGGCGGACGACGGCGTGATGCCTCCGACATTCCGACCGTCGCCTCCATTCCTCTCTCTCGTCCTTCTCTCGCGGCGGCGCGGCGACTCCCTCTCTCTATCGCGGCGGGCGGCGGTCGGCGGCGCGGCGCTCCGGCGGCGGCGCCCTCGGACGGCGGCGCCCTCGTTTGGCGGCGCCCTTTTGCGTCGCCCTCAGCTGGCGACGCTCTCTCGGCGGCACCGCTATTCTCAAGACTCGCGGAGGACGGCGGTGCGACGGGTTGCGGCGCCCTCGGATGGCGGCGCCCTCAGCTGGCGACGCCCTACTGTGTCACTTCCTTCTACCGCGACGGCGTCATCTGCTGCTACTTCTGTTCACTTCCTTCTACCGCGACGGCGTCATCTACTGCTACTTCTGTTCACTTCCTTCTACCGCGACGGCATCATCTGCTGCTACTTCTGTTCACTTCCTTCAACCGCGACGGCGTCATCTGCTGCTACTTCTGTTCACTTCCTTCTACCGCGACGGCATCATCTGCTGCTACTTCTGTTCACTTCCTTCAACCGCGACGGCATCATCTGCTGCTACTTCTGTTCACTTCCTTCAACCGCGACGGCGTCATCTGCTGCTACTTCTGTTCACTTCCTTCTACCGCGACGGCATCATCTGCTGCTACTTCTGTTCACTTCCTTCAACCGCGACGGCATCATCTGCTGCTACTTCTGTTCACTTCCTTCAACCGCGACGGCGTCATCTGCTGCTACTTCTGTTCACTTCCTTCTACCGCGACGGCATCATCTGCTGCTACTTCTGTTCACTTCCTTCAACCGCGACGGCATCATCTGCTGCTACTTCTGGTCATCTGCTGCTACTTTCGCGACGGCGTCATCTGCTGCTACTTCTGGTCATCTGCTGCTACTTTCTTCATCTCTACCGCGGCAGACGGCGGGCGTCGCTCGTGGCGGCGACGCGCGGTACTCCGGCGTCGGCGCCCTCATGGTCGCGCCGTCCTCTGCCACTTGGTGGCGCTAGCGGCGACGCTCTCCTGGCGACACCGCTTCTCTCCCCACTCGCGGCGGAAGCGGTCCCCCGCTCCATTTCTCTCCCTCTTTCTTCTCTCGCGGCGGCGCGGCGACTTCCTCTCTCTATCGCGGCGGACGGCGGGGCGGCGCTCCCTCACTCGGCGGTGATGCTGGCGACGCCGCCGTCACTTTGCGGCGCCCTCTGCCGACGGCGCAGCTGATGACGCCTCCTGGCGACGTCCTTTGTTTCTCTCTATGACGCGGCGGACAGACGGTGCAGGTGCGTCTCCTCTCTGCTACCGCGTCGGCGACATCTACTTCTCGTTTCCTCTCTGCTACCCGACGACGACATCTACTTCTTTCTCTTCTCTGCTACCGCGACGACCTCTACTCTCTTCTCTTCTCAGCTACCCGACGGCGACATCTACTTCCTTCTCTCCTCTGCTACCGCGACGACTTCTACTCTCTCGTATCTGCTTCCCGACGGCGACATTGACCGAGCCGAGGGCGACGCGGCTCCCTGTCGTGCAGGCGATCTGTCCTCCACATCCGTCGGAGGCTCTCGGAGATCGCCCGCCGCGCACCTGACGATAAAAAACAAAACAACTCGGCAGGAAAAACGTTCATTACGCAATGCCTAGCTAAGTCAGTCACATCATATTCATCACACTTTCCACATTTAAACGTTTGCGAACAATCAACCATTTACAGAACACTTCATTACACTTCGCACATTCAACGTTTCATACTTTTAATCAACCAGTTACAGAGCACATGCTTAATTTAAATATGCCTGATGAAAGGAGAGAGTATTGGATAGAAGGAAGGATATACGGTACATACCAGCCGCGGTTATTGGGGCACCTCTGGTTGTTAAAGACGGCTAACATTGGCCGTGGGGCGTGACATCACAACACCGCGGATGATTGTCCGTGATTCATGGCCCTCTTCCGATTGATGGTCGGACTTTGAAAATTACAGCAAATAAATCGATACCTCATGACTGCAAGCTTTGGTTGTTAATGAAATTTGTATTCCATGAGACACTGGTTAAGACTGAACTATTCCGAAATTGTACGTTTAACACGTCACAGTCGACCATCCGACCTGACCACGTGAGCGGCCGTCTCAGTAGTCCCAGGTATTGACCGGTATGATCATGCTAAACGGGCCATTTATTTCGCCAAACAAATAATTTAAATTTCCTTCCGCCTAAACTGAGTTTAGAGCGGCATTGCGTGGTCACAGGTAATGGTCGGTATGATCATGCTGAATGGGCCATGAAATTTTGCACAAAACAAGTCATTCAAATTTCGTTCCGCCTAAACTGAGTTCAGAGCGGTATCTCTCGTCGCCGGCCCTTTGGTAACGGTTCAGCGACAGAGCCGACTGTGGGTCGGGTCACCGTCACTGGCACATGGCGAGCGGGGAAGTGATTAGATGGTGCGTGGGATCTGGTGAAAGAGAAAGTGGGACATGGTTCGACTCCCACTGCGCAGAGAAGCGGGTCAAATGTGCGTGCGGCGCAGCGCCGATGGCTGTGAAAGCCAGGAAGAGGAAATGACCGATCGCTGATATAATGAGCGGGACCGGGATGGAATTGACTGGGAGACGAGGCTCTGGCGCATTTCGCCCATGGAGGATAATAGTCTGCGGAAATGCGGTACCGCATTCCACTAGTCTCCGCCATTACAGCGCTCCGACGCATGCCCAGCGGCGCTGGAATAATGGATTGGGACGACGGGCCAAACAGCAAACACACCGGCTAGGTCGGTGACCATTGACCAATGACCAAGTCGAGCGGGCGGCGCCGGCGCTGGAGATAAGGACAGAATAGCGAAACTGGTATTCGGCTCTGAGTTCTTCGAATACGAAAGAACGATTTCGTTCGTTGGCGGCTGTCAATTAGGGGAGCGGGGAACCATCAACCAGACATAGATCCACAGGATCGGTATCCGAAGAAACGCATAAAAGGGCTGTACGCTCAACTAATCATCATCAACGTAAAAATGAAATTAAAACTGTGAAATTGAACCAGATTATGCTTAAAATCATAACCTGAACAATGCTGACAGTTTTATTTTTAAATCAATTACCTCAAATTATGACAAGCAATTTAATGTAACCGGTGAGCCTTCGTCCAACAATGAAAAGCATATTGAAACGTTATAACAATTTAAACGATATGCAAGTAAAATGTGAGTAAGTTTGAAATTTGCTTTATCTTGATACATTTACAGGCAAATAAAGTGGATATAAACTAAAACGACATCTTATATTATTTGGTCCCTGAATCATGTAGAACACGGGCGTAAAGCGCGTAAGTGCCAAAAGTTAAACGGTAAATAACATCCCTAAAAAGCCGATGTTTAACGATGATTCATTTTGTTACATGAACGTTTCAAAACGTCGGCTTAGGCACGTACCTAAACGGAAAATCAAGAAAGTAATTGGTAATTAAATTTACATTCCTACCGTCTTAATCGAGCTTTACAAATACAATAAAGCGTTTTAAATATAAAGGTCGGGCAATACGTATCCATAACACATTTGTTAAATGAATGAAATTTAATTAACGACTTGCAGCATTTGATCAAAGTAAACGATTACAAAAACCTGTACGAAGCAAATAGATTAAAACGGTGAAAGGATTTAATACGGCAAAATGCATTATTTATCAAAGGTTTGAGTTAAACAGACAAGTTTGACATTTCCACCTAGTGAATTTAAAGTTTCACCGGCAATTAATTTATATTCGATCAGTGAGCCTAGCCCAGGTTATAGTAAAATGGGAAATAATCAATATGTTCAATTACGATAATTCATGAGAATTATGAGCAAAATATGGCAATTTTGACATTTCCTTATGAATACCTTATTCAGAATTTTTCCCAGAATTTCATTGATTCCCGATCAGTGAATGAGAGAATAAGAACAGTAAAACGGTGAAATAACCTTTGAACGGTTAAATGCAAAATTTACAAATAATTCTGAGGAAACATGGTCCTAATTCTAACAGCTCGCTTAGTGAATGTTTAGGTAATAATTTAACCGGCATTTCAAATGATTTTGACGAGTGAAGTGATCAGTTTCAATGACAAAACCACATTACGCATCACGAAAATTGTAGGTAGGTACATCGCTGTCAAAATCATATCATTACGAATTTATAAAGTTTTACAATTCAACGCCTGATAGCAAAGTTTGAATTGACCATTTAAAGTTTTTAGAAAGAAATGAAGCACAGCAAAGTTCCATAGCATTTCAAACATAACACTAGATATCAGGCATAACAATAATTGAAGTTCTCGTCAGGACAGGCCTTTATCCGTGACGAAAACATTTCAATTTCATCACTCGCACAACATTCAATTATATCAATCATATACTTTTATCAATCAATCATACGGTTCGCCGTTTATCGGTCAGATATTTCCTCTCACCGATGTCTTATTATTGCAGTCGTCAACAAAATTTTCCTAATGAATTTTTGGTGGCTGGCTCGCTCGATTGTCCCTGAGTAATGAATATTTCACGGAGTGAGCAAATTAAATCGGCACATCGACTGGGGCTGTTCGGTCGAGATTTACGGGCTTCTCCAACCAACTAATGCAGTTTAAGACTTATATAGCGGTCGGACAAGGGTCACACCGACTACAGCACAAAGCGCACGCAAGACAAGCTAGTTCGGTCGAGACTTATGGGCTTCTCTATATCAAGAGAAGGGATCGCTGCCGACTTGCACAACATGCCGCCCAAACAACAGGTGTCTGGGTCGCGGATTTACGGGCTTCTCCAACCAACTAACGCAGTTTAAGACTTATATAGTGGCTGAACAAGGGTCACACCGACTGACATGATTGTGCACGCGAACTAGCCTGCTCGGTCGAGACTTACGGGCTTCTCCATATCAGAAGAAGGCTCACTGCCGACTTGAGCGCAATGTGCACACGTAACAGCGATTCCCGGCCGATGCACCAAATTTATGTAATGTACCCGTGATGCCAGCGGCAGCGCTACCGCCAACACCCGTTCTATCCCCCGACAGCCGTCTGCCACCCGGCCGTGGTGGTCCAACTATTGCATTTACTTTACTTTGGCATCCGGTGGACAGGGAATGCATCACCTTTGGGCACACACGGTTGGGTCGCGCACCCTCGTGGGTTGCGGTGTGCATTACACCGTCTTAATTGCAAGTTACGTTATTATTACATTTACGTTACGTTAATGTTTAAACTCCGTGACTCATTCATTATCTCCGTCTTTCGTCTCTCGTCTCGAATGTCTCTCTCTGCCAAACAAGATAAAGATTTCTGCTCCGTTATTATTTATATAAAACAAGTATAACGCCAAAGAATGAAACAAGACTGCTCGGGAATGTACGTCTACGGGAAATTGCGTCGCCTCAGAATAAACGCGCAGATTAGCCTAACATACCCTAACACGCGCAATCTACACATTTACTTTACCTTGCTCCTAGCCTAGCTAGGGAGGCGGGGTGAGCACAAAGCCCCATCCTCCGGGTCAGCGGGACACCTACCTCGAGCGAAGCCACCACACGAGAGCCCCGATCGGCCGGCGCTCACGCGTTATAACCCAGCTCGAGGCGGGAGTCGGAACGGTCAGCCCGCCCGAGGTGAAAGCCAGCCTCGCGTTCCGACGCGGCGCCCGTCGACCAGGAAAACCTATTCCTACAGGCGCGGGCTTTACACTACCACAACACCTGCAGAGGTACCTTCCTGGAAAAATGACGCCCAGGGAGGTGACTGTCCAACTTATTGGAATACTACCATGATTGCTTGTCAAAGTGTGTGTCATCATGCTCTCGTTTGACAAGTGATGTATAATAAATGTGATATTCAATAATTATCTCCTGACTGCTGACTGTTGAGTGATCAAAATATTCAAATAATCAGGGTACAATGCTGTGCATAGTGCACACTAATCATGTTGTTTTTGTGTAGGCCCTCTGCACATTGTTGTGTTCACTGCTATGTGCACCTTAAGTAAAAAAGTGACTGGTGGTACATGACAAAAGGTTGTGCAACTGTGAAGTTCATGCCCTTGGTCAAGCTGGTGCCAAATGCCTATAGCTATAGTATAGCAGGATCACTGATCAGTGAGGGTTGTAGACATGCTAGCTACATACATTGTGCATTGAAGATATTGGCACAAAGTTCATCCGTAATTACTATGCTTAACACCTAATGTAAGAAGCGACATAAATGCCCAGATGATAAAACTCTCTGGTCAACATCACACAAATTTATTGACAAACTTTGCAGGTACATATTTACATTCATGGCAAAATATACTTTCGATTTGATTCAGAAACTAGTTGCTAGTAAACTTGCATTTTTGTAGGTACAACAACGACCATATATTGAATCATAAAAAACCTCATGGCATTCATCAGTCATCACATACCTTTTTACCGAACAAGTACCTAGCTACCATGCAATGATTCTAAAAATTTCCGCAATCCATCTATATCTCAACTGACACAATGAATTTGAAATACCCTAACAAAACCTATAACTGTACATAAAAATAATGCAATACTACAAGAACTATGAATTTCTGAAGTTATTCTCACATGCTGGAATGTTGAAACTCTACTTTTGTCATCCATTTCCACGTTTGAGCCATCATATCAAACTGTTTTCGTTCTTCAGTCACAAGCTTTCGCACAAATCTGGAATTTTTACACATCATCTTGAACCATGCTCCAGTCTTTCCAACAAGGTACTATGTAACATCAAAGCAATTTTGATTTGTTACAACAGCTTCAGATCATGATAGGCTTGAGGTTTGTTACACCATTTGCCAGACAAATCTCTGCAAAATGTCTAGTGTATCAATTCCCAAACTAAGTAATTGATCATATCAGTATTTGCAGTTTCCACACAATGTTTCATAATATTATTCTATGTTTATATAAAGAAACTCAAATAATCCACAAATTGTTATCGAAACACTCCCACTTCAAGAACTCACAGAAACAGTACAAGTTCAGAAGCAAACAAACATTGCGCCAGATTTCGTATGAAACGCGCCATCGTCCTGAAGTTTCTACCACAGACGGTAGTTCAACCGCAGCCGTAGTGCGAAAACCCCTGCCCACCTTACCCCACGGCGGAGCTCGGTTGCAATTTGTAAATACGCGGCTCGGCTACAGTTCTGGAACGTGATTGGCCGGACGGCATAGAATCTTCGCCGTCCGAGAGACATCGAACGCGGGGTAAATAGAAGATAGCTCAGAGTGTGGCGCTCTTCTTTCGTTTGCGGCGCAAAAGCGCGCGTTTAGAAGGGGATGGGGCAAGATACCTATAAGAAACGGGCCCTGGTATTAACTGGATTATTGGCCAGCTGGCGCCGTATGGTGGCGCTAGCAGAGTTTCTTACATTTCAATGCTAGATATAAAAGAATAAATATTTACCTATCAATTTTTCATTTAAAGCCATTTAAAATATTTATGTCCATCCTACTACCTCGCTTATATCTATAATTAAATAGACGTAATGACATGATGTGGAGATGGAATTAAATTGATGAAATACTAGGACTTACTCCACAAGGAGATCGAATGGGTCGGAGCGCTTTCAATATGTATTATACATATCGTCGTCAGCGAATCAATAACGGGTCGAATCGAGTCGGGTATCGAAGAGGTTCGGGAGCTGCGCGGCAGAGCGATCACATACTATTCGAATTATGCATTAAAGAGAATAAAAAACACGTGAGAACAATCATGATACACTAGCTGCTAAAATGAATTAAAATGGGGTGCTAAAATGCATAAATGGCACGTATAAAAGTACAATAAGGGGGGGGGGGAACAGGATACCTATGGTGATAAAGACTGAGTAGAAAAGGGAACAAAGACTATACAAAACTGAGTGCAAAAACTGTAAAAGGACGAGTACAAATATAAATACATACAAAGGCCGAACTAGACGTAAACACTACTGACAAAAACGGCGGATTATCGGCAGCCAGCGGTCATGCAGCAGGGCACCCGAGTTCCTGTTCACGTTTGCGTCATTCGGCGACACCAGGACGGCTTCACGCCGACCAACAGTCCGAATATAGGCCGATTCCAGGAGAAGTCGCATCTGGTGATGACTGGCTCGATTCAAGATCTTGATGGCATCGAAAGCAGGTGAGCAGTCTCTATGGGTACTGAAGGCCGATGTATTGGCTCTCGAGCGGACTGCTCCAGTCCAGCTCTCCCGGTGTTCTCGGAGTCTCGTGCCCAGCTCACGATCTGTCTCGCCGATATAGACCATTGGGTCACCGTCCACTTGGCAGGAGCACTCGATCCGATAGATGACGTTGCTCTGTTGTAGCTTAGGCAGTTGGTGCTTAGCCTTGCTGCAGAGCAGCGAGCCGATGGTGACTGAAGGCTTGGAGACGAGCTGGATCCCGATCTTGCTGGCCTCCCGTTTGAGTTGGTAGAACAGGGGGCCGGCAAACGGAACAGAGACTCGGACAGGCGCCGGGTGTGAGTTCGCGCTAGGTGGCGCTGGTAGGGCCCTTGCCTTCAGTCTGAGATCGGTCCGAGTCTTCTGAATGGCCGAGTCGATGAATGATCGTGGGTAGCCATGATGATGAAACTTCTGGCGGATGAAGTCAAGCTCCTGCTGGCGGTCTCTCATGGACGAACAGTATCGGATCGCTCGAGTGCAGTCAGATCGAATGGCCGCTCTCAGGTAGCGGGTCTCGGTGTAGGAGCTGAAGGCAGGCACTTGGTTGGTGTTGCAGGACTTCCTGTAGACCTTGGTGCAGAACTTGTCGTCTCTTCTAGTGATGCAGATGTCAAGATACGGTAGCTGTCGGTTTACTTCCAAGTCAGTGGTGACATTGATGCTGGAGTCCTTGCTGTTCAGCTGGTTGACCCACGTGTTGAGGATGTCGTCACTGCCCTCGAACAAGACCAGGTAGTCGTCCGCGTATCGGCAGAAAGCATGGACCCTGCCACCACAGTTGGCCGCCAGGAGCTCCAGATCAGCCTCCCAGTGTCCCATGTACAGGTCAGCGACCACCGGAGAGTAGCTTTTGCCCATGGCTAGGCCGGTAGTCTGCCTGAACCATCGCTCCTTGTCACCGTCTTGAATGACCGCATGGCAGTTCTGGATAGAGATGTTCAGCAGGTCAGCGACTGCGTCGGGCTTGAGACAAGTTACGTCGGAGAGGGCGTCTCTGTTGTCTCGCAGCTGAGTACGAATCAGTGAGATGGCTGTCTGAGTAGGTATTGACGGGAACATCGCCTCCACATCCAGGGAGACGAGACGGCAGCTGTTGACCGCATGCGTCATGTTCTGTAGCATCTCCAGGACTTGCAGTGGAGAGCTGACCGAGTGTGGAGGGCGTGGGAGGACTTTCAGACACTTCGTCAGATGCTTGGTCAACTCGTAATCTGCACCGCGGTGGGCTGGGCAGATTGGTCTCAGTTTCAAGTTGGAGATCCAGTTGAGTCTGTCGTCGTCGGTGCTGGGAGGTGATGAGTATTTGTGAGTTTTCACAAGTCCATAGAACGGACCGCTGCGGCCATGGGTCTTGGAGAGGCGGCGATAGAGTTGGTAGCCTTCTGGGTTGTTCTCCTTCAGCATGGTGTCACGTCGCCTTCCACGAACAGCAGGTCCGGCCAATGCTGTGAGCAGGTGCTCGTTAAACCTGCCAGCAAAGGCTTCCGCTGGATCACTGGTTACCTCCTCGTAGACCGGTGACTGGAGTGAACGTAGAAGGGCTGCTGTGTAGTCAGACTTGCTTATCACCACCAGAGCCTTGGCCTTGTCTGCTGGAACAATCACCTTGGAGTCATCTCTGGTAAGTGACTTCAAAGACTCGGTCAGTTGTTTAGGCGGCTTAGGCTGTGGTTGGTTGTTGCCCCGTGTCAGTATCTTCTCAGCCTTGTTGAGGAAGGCGGTGATGTCATCGCCGGTCACACCTTGCTGGTCGGCTTGCTTGATGGCGATGTCGGAGACCATCTGGCTTTTCAACGCCAGCTCCAGAACAGGGGGCCTTGCTGGAGCTATGGAAAACTTGGACCCAAGTTGAAGTGCATGAGTCTCTTCTCTAGAGAGTGGCTGGTTAGTGAGGTTGATGACCGTCACATCCGTAGTTGCTGACCGTCTAGGATGTGTACCGGAGAAGGTCAGTCCCCCGTTCTCTCTCAGTAGAGCATGAAACTTCTTGGCCTTCACTGATTCACATTTTCTCAGTTCATGTCTGTAGATGCCTTGGGACTTGCCTTCTAGGACGGCCATGGCAGTCTGAGCGACTCCACGACGCAGTAGGCTGGCTTTGATGCCTTCAAGACGAGCTTTTGTACGGTGCGTTTCTGATCTCGCCTCGTTGAATGACAGGCGGAGGCGAGCTTCTTCTGATTTCTTCTTCCAGTTTGCTTCGCGTTCACTGGATGGCTTGATGTTCAGCCTTAAACCGCGGGGAATGAGCTGGTGGTCCCTGCAGTTTCGTAAAAAGATCGAATGGGTTTCGAATCTAGCCAACTTGCTCATGAGGTGTGAGTAGAGGTTGGCTAGCTGTCGGGTCGACCGTCCATAGTCGTTAAATTGACGTAATGACATGATGTGGAGATGGAATTAAATTGATGAAATACTAGGACTTACTCCACAAGGAGATCGAATGGGTCGGAGCGCTTTCAATATGTATTATACATATCGTCGTCAGCGAATCAATAACGGGTCGAATCGAGTCGGGTATCGAAGAGGTTCGGGAGCTGCGCGGCAGAGCGATCACATACTATTCGAATTATGCATTAAAGAGAATAAAAAACACGTGAGAACAATCATGATACACTAGCTGCTAAAATGAATTAAAATGGGGTGCTAAAATGCATAAATGGCACGTATAAAAGTACAATAAGGGGGGGGGGGAACAGGATACCTATGGTGATAAAGACTGAGTAGAAAAGGGAACAAAGACTATACAAAACTGAGTGCAAAAACTGTAAAAGGACGAGTACAAATATAAATACATACAAAGGCCGAACTAGACGTAAACACTACTGACAAAAACGGCGGATTATCGGCAGCCAGCGGTCATGCAGCAGGGCACCCGAGTTCCTGTTCACGTTTGCGTCATTCGGCGACACCAGGACGGCTTCACGCCGACCAACAGTCCGAATATAGGCCGATTCCAGGAGAAGTCGCATCTGGTGATGACTGGCTCGATTCAAGATCTTGATGGCATCCTCAAGAACTCTTCGATACCCGACTCGATTCGACCCGTTATTGATTCGCTGACGACGATATGTATAATACATATTGAAAGCGCTCCGACCCATTCGATCTCCTTGTGGAGTAAGTCCTAGTATTTCATCAATTTAATTCCATCTCCACATCATGTCATTACGTTATTGTATGTTGACGTAAGCACGACAATTAATGTTTTCTCAACTTTTCTGAATAAACGAACAAGGTTGCTAGGCTTGTCCTATGACAACTTTATTTTTCCTGATGTTTATGTCTTATATTTGACTTTCTAGTTTCTCATAGATATTGATCTCATGTGAATACAGAATGTAGGTACCTACCTACATCTCAGGATATAGGTAGGTAATTGATGGAATAGGTTTGTCTTGAAGATATCCAATTTTTAGTTAACCTTTATAACTTTCTAGGAAATTAAAGCTTTCTGAATGGACAGTCATATCTTGTTGCTTAGGATTCTAGAATATTTGTACAATAAAACTTAGTTATTTGCTGGTGTGTTGAAGCCATACATTAACATTTTTTTTTTACTACAGGAAGTTAATATTTAAGCATACCATGCTGAAGCTTCAGGTGTATATTTCTTTTTCAGACTGCATATCATTGATGACTCACACAGCATCAAAAATGGATTGGGAGAAGAAATTCAACAGCATCATTCGGGACACAGATGCTAATCTTGAGAAAGTCAAGGTAACTCTTATTTTTCTACTAGGAATGCCTGCACAAATAGGTTAGCTATGCATATTTGTGCAGGCCTCACTGGATGTGCAATAAGTTAGTGCATGTTTCAAGGTATGAATGTTGGGTTCCAATGACCATCCCAGTGTCTGGGTACCCTAAACCCCAAGTCATCATCATCAAGGTATGATATGAATTCCTTTCATGAATTGACTTGGTGTTTCTTCTTTCATTTTTCTTCAGAAGTTAGCTGGGTGAATGTGGGTCTATGTGCAGGCGCAGCAAGAATAGGTAAGAAAGAAGAAGAGCTTGTGAATCTACAGAGAATCTTGTGAGTTGTGAATTTTGTGCCTATGCTCTAATTCACTTGTGAAAATCTTCAGTGGGAAGTGTAGCAAACGTACTGCTGTAAGTGGCCCAGTCTTCATGGTTCTGATCATTTCTGGCAACTTGAAAGCTGCCAACTAGATCCGCGAGTTGAATTAGGTGCTGCTCTCCAGACTGGAACCAGCTACCACTAAGTAAAGGCCTAAGAGACTGGCGCATTGACCAGTAGGCCACACGTTTTTTAGGGGGGGGGGGTCATGAGATATAGGAAGATTTCGAATTTACTGGTTCTCGTTAGAAATAAGCTGGAGATGCCTACTGCATCAGAAAACAAACTTCGAAGCCTCGTATCGTCGGTTTCACCATTTTGGACGATGGAATGTTGTCACGTCTCATCTCGGAGAGGCAGATAACTGGTGAAGAGAGTTGTACAAAGGGCAGGGGGAGATAACCCGCTCTGTTTTTACGGTCGCTCGCTGGCGAACCCAGTCGTGGTCGGTGCCGCCGGCGGGGCACAGGGTCGCTGGGCGGAGCGATGCCGCTGCACGGGGCCGACCCGGTGGAGGCCGGCTGGGAGCGGGCGCGCCGGCTCTGGCCACTGCAGGCAGACGGTGTGACGCTGCACTACGCCGAGGAGCCGGCCGCTCCAGCCGCCGGGGAGCAGCGGGCACCGCAGCCGCGGCGGGCCGCCTCCGTCTGGACAGCGCCGGGTGTGCCACAGCCCGGCCCGCAGCCCGACCGCTCCGCCTGGGTGGTGAGCACCGCAAACGCGTCTTTTGTCAGCAGCTCTCGGGATGCCGCGGTTGTCGGCCAGCGGCATTTCGCCACCGCGCCGCCCGCCCGCAGCAAGTCGCGGTCCTCTCAGACAAAGTCCTGGGATATTTACGGTGGTGTTCCCTCCAGGAGCTCGCCCCAGACCGTTCGCGCCGTCCCGTGGCGGTCTGTCCCGTCTCCGACCGCGCGGAGCGTGCCTCAGGCCGCCCCAGCCGACCGATGGCCGGTGGCTCAGCGTACAACTGCCGGAACTACCGCCCGGCCCACTGAGACCGACCCACGGCAGTCGGCTCCAGCCGTGACTGCTCGTCCCGTGCCGTCGGACCCGTGGCAGATAGCTTCAAAGCCGGCCACTCGGGGCGGACTCGGTCCATCCACAGCGGGTCGCTGGAAGGGCGACCTGCCGCCGATACCCCAGAAGGCGTGTGTGCTGCCATGCTGCCAGAAACCTGTTCAGCATGACAGCAGACGGCTGCAATTCAGCGACGGTAGTGGCGGCCGAAAAGGGGAGAGATTTAGTTATACCAATGACGGTGACGACAGGAATAATCTGCCGCGTGATGCCGTGGACTATAGAAGCTCAGATGATGCTGAATCACCGGCACGTTGCATGGCCATTCCAACACAGATGGTTGGTGAAAATGATGTCAGCAAATACAGCGACAAATCGCAAAGTGTAAGGAACGAGAGGGGGTAGACGTAATTAGGCATGTATTCTAAAATTACGACACATGAGCATGCTCTCTGGAAACAGTGATGTAAATGATAATTGATACTGCTGTGCTCTCTGTCTCACTCTCCTTTTCCCCCTCTCTCTCTCTCCCGTCCCTCCGTCTTGCCTTCCTCCCTTCCACCCTTCCTCCCTTCCTCCTTACAACTACCATCTCTAATCATGACCATCTCCCACAGCTCTCCGCTCTCTAGTCCCGCCACTGATGGTGTACCTCTCCCTCCAGTCCCGTGTGATGCTGTCTCAGCGGACGGCGACCGGCGCCCCCTCGGCGCCGGTTAGTTCCTCGAGCTCTGCCGGGGCTCCTGCCGGCGCAGTGCCCTCGCTGGCTGAGCTGAACGCCACTGTTCAGAAGCAGGCCGTCGAGCTGCGCCGCCTGGCTGTCGTACAGCGGCGGAGGGAGCTGGAGGAGGAGTTCATCAAAGGTGAGCGCTACTGTGCGAGTGCAGGGAAGTGGTGCTTTGCTGGCACACGGATAGTCGTGCCAGCAAAGTCGTGCAAAGCAAAGGATAGTCGTGCTTGGTAGTGTGCAAAGCGTATAGAAACTTGTTTTTAGGCGATGAAAGATTATGTATATGTTGCATTTCCATTTCCATTCCGTATATTTTTTCGTTTTCTCATGAAAATTTAATTTGACGTTGTATAGAATAAAACGGTCAATAGCAATGTAATTGGACACTTCTATTATTTCACGTTACATATTGATTTCACAATTAACATTAACCGGTAAATTTTCACATTTTTATCGTTTTTTTTTGTCCTTTCATACACTGTGATATCTTGCTGCGCATTGTGCAATGTGCATCGCACCATCATTCCTGACCAGTCGGCCATGCTCCCCCACCAGCCGAGCTGGCCAGGATCCGGCGTGACGTGAAGAAACTGGCGGCGGGCGGCTCGCTGCGCTCTACCAGTGACCGCTCACCGGCGCCCGTGCCGGACGACCCGCCGCCCAAACGGTAAGTGGGGTGATAGCACACCAAGGCTGGCCGGTCGGCTCAAGGCTGGACCGCGCTCAGATGATGGCCTTAGCCAGGAGAGGGCGGCAGATAGTCGCTGCTAAAGTCAGTGCCTGGCGGTGTGACCTGGATTGGTGTCAGCGTCCTCAACGCAGAATGACGCTACGCAATTCCGACGGATAAACTGACACCTCGATGTCATTCATTCAAAGACGGTTTGCTGTGCTATGGGCAGCTATGTAGTGGATGGTCAGTTTCGGATGTTGAATTTGAGCTCTCACAGATGCTGTCCTTTCAAATATCTACCAAACTTCAGTAAAATGCACGGCACATGAGCACTACGAACGATGTTCTACAAACCTGTCCTGAAACAGTGATAGGTGCAGGATGACATATCCCAGGGGGGACCGCCGTTACGTAGAGCAAGTGTCCGCAAATGTAAATAAACTCCTCTATGGGGGACACTGACCTCTCGTTCTCCTAATTTATAACGTACGATGACTGAACTAAGGACATGAATTCTGTCTTTGCAAATCACCGAACTCAGAAATGGAGACTTATCCACTAGCCCACATGGAGGACAAGGACATACCGAACCGTGACTTTGCTTTGTGAATTGTTATCGTAGCTGGTTTTCAAAAACAAACGTGGACTTCGACCCTGTCTTCCCTTCGGCCGCTGACTCATCGGCGAAAGGAACTCTCCGGCTGACCGCGATAAACTTTTGGTACAGGAACTGGTTTGACATGTCTGAAACGTGGCCAGTGCTCAGCCGATAGATAATTTTACTTGGAGTCGCATCTTCGACATAAAAAAATTCGCAATGGAGTGACAGTATTTTTATAATATCTCAATAAATTATGTCTGCAATGTAGAAGTGAAAAAAACGGAGAATAATTGGATTGCCCCAACTGAAAGTAGCTATCTCAACGCTGCCCCACGCTCCCCGCCGTATAACTGCCGCACCCACTGGCTCGTTTCCCCGAGGACCGGGCAGCGATGACCAGGGCTGCGGAGTCGATTGATTTTCGATGACTCCGACTCCGACTCCGACTCCGGCTTTCAATAACCAGCTCCGACTCCGACTCCGACTCCGGGCAGAATTGTCGACTCCGACCGACTCCAACTCCCGACTCCGACTCCGCAGACCTAGCAGGGCTGCGGAGTCGACAGATTTTCGGTGACTCCGACTCCGACTCCGGCTCGGGTTTCTAAAATCGACTCCGACTCCGACTTCGGTCACAACTGTCAACTCCGACCGACTCCGACTCCGACTCCGCAGCCCTGGCGATGACTACTGACGGGTCGGCCGATGTCGACAGGCTGTCGAGCCGCGTGCTGACTGTCGAGGACACGGAGCTGATCACGAGGCGACTGAGGGTGCTGGAGGAGCAGGTGAACGTCCTGCAGGAGCACAGGATCAACCAGCTGAAGGTACGGACTCCCGGCCGGTCTGGAAGAGCTGAGGTCACAGACGATTAAATTAGAAATATGATTGGCTTTCATAAACAGAAAGTGGAACTAAATTAGATTATTGAATATTACGTCACTGCTGATAAGTTATGCCATGTTTCACAAAGTTCGGTAAAGCAAGGCTGCTATGCAATGCCTGAGTCATCATTGGCTTTATTTAAATACACTTTTGACACATTGTCCTTGCACAGATACTGACCAGTGTTCGTATAACCTCGTATGCCGCCTACTGACCGATGTTGTAACCCGCAGGCGGCCGTGGCCAGAGATAAGGAATCCACCGACCTGGGTACCTCCCCGCTGGCCTGCGTGGATGACCACTTCCCGGCTGAGCCAGAGGACGTCACACCCACTGAGAACGGCCGGCTGACAGAGCGTGAGTAGTGGGACCGGGGAGTACCTGCGGGACCAGCCTGGGTTTAACAGGGACCAGGGGTACCGATATCAGGATGTAACATCAGTAACAAAGACCTGGGTGTACCGAGATCGGGGTGTAACAAAGACCAGGGTGTACCGACGTGACCGGCCTGGGTGTAAAGGTACTGGGGGCACCGAGATTAGGGTGAACAAAGACCAGGGTGTACCGGGACCAGTGGGTGCGTGGATCAGGTGGCACCGGGACCAGAGCGTAGCAGGTCTTTATCGCAGCAGGACTTGGGTGTATGACCGGGACCAGTGTGTGCGTGGATCAGGTGGTACCGGGATCGAGAATGATCCACACGAGGTCAGTCACAAGTCTCAGGTACGACGTGCTTAATATTTGCAGTTCCACTGCAGGACCTATTTTTGCGCTCGCTCGCTCACGCATCGCCTCAAGCGTTTGTCCTGTTTGTACTAACAAGCACGCCTTTTTCAGCTCTCGGCTTCAACCTGGATGATCTGGCGCTGAGTGACAGTGACGACCATTGAGGGCAGCAGCGGCGGTCCCCGTTTCAATATAGATGACGCCACGCTCGACCGGAACTGCAAGCTGGTGCGCGACACGATCGTTGGACTGAAAACGTAAGCGGATTTATCTGATGATGGCTGATGTTCACATACTTCACCGATGAATCGATGAGTTAGATGTGGGTCTCGAATTCGATAGCATCCAACCGGTACATGCAATCTACAGTTTATTCCTTTGATAGATTATCGGAAGGCTACATTGCACAGTTAAGCAGCTGATAGGGAGCTGAAGGAAAGGAACGGGACCACCTTAGCGATATTAGAACTTGTAGACAGTGCAACGGAGTCTGCTGGTTACTGGAAGCTTCAGCGGCATGGATAAAACCGTAGCATGTCAATGGTCATCTTCTGTGTCCCTGGTTACACCTGGCAAGATGCATACTCGTTCAAAAATCTCGGAAAGTTTGACTTATAGGTCGAGTGGTGATTCACGGCGGAGAGAAAGTGCTGTGTGACTGCAGGTATTGGGGGGGGGGGGGGGGGGAGATAACGTCCCTGAAGGGTCAAGAGATTGTGGTTCATTAGAAGATGAGATCGTGGGCTTGGTAAAGGGGCATTACCAGAAACTCAGTTACCACTTGGGGTAACCAATCGTTTTGTGATTCGGGGAAACGAATATTTCGCAAAATTCTTTTAAAACGGCCCAATCTAGTTTGAATCGCGCCTGCTCAGCCAGGTTCGCGCACTAGGATGATTACACTTTCAGTTGTAGATGCTTTAAGCAATCGAGTTCCGGTGAGGGGACGTTTAGGCAGCGGAGGGCCGGAGGTTAATGCGAGCTCTGAACAGATCACGGGTAGACGCTGTGTAGACGGGTGGGTAGTCCTGTGGGCGGGGATCCCTGGCGATCTTACATAACCGTAACCTTACATATGATCTCTGTGCCGGGTCAGGTCAGTAAGAGCCGAGGCGCGATTTGGTGTGTTCTGGGTCGTTTGAGGGACGGTCTAGCTGCTGGGTTTTGGTTGAGCGAGCGGTGAAAAGCGTGGCCAGTTGCGAGTAAAGGCAATGCATGCATGGTTCAAGTTGAGCACCGACGAAACGTTACGATTGTCTGTAACTCTGCTCTGTGGTCGCTGAAGCCCTGCTGAACCATTTCGCTGGTTCCATTCAAAGCCGTAATAACCGCAGATACTTGCGAGACAGAAGCTTTATCTTGCCATTTCTACAGCTTTGTACATAGGGGCTCTGTACAGGCTAGTTAAGGCATCAGGGTACACGGTGGCATACAAGTGATTGTGCGCGAGTGGTGGGTATCGCGAGTCCTGTGCTGGGTATTTTGTAAGGATTCATTGTTGGTTCTCTTTCTGTAAGAGATATTGTCCTAAGTGTTTATCGTGATTGTTTTTGGTCCTTTGTTTGATATACTTATCACCATGTAGATTGATTCCTAACTGCCAGCCTTCATATGCTCTTTTTTCAATGCATAATGCTACGATGGCCAACTGTGCTGATTGCGATACTGATATCTATAACTCCGGTCCGGTCCTATGATTGTCAGTCTGTGAGGAGTACTTATTTGTACGGGTCGTTGCTAAAATTGTGCTTTCTTTGATACAAAAAGGCGCGGAACGTTAAGATGCAAGTGTTCGCTCGCATGGTTCGCAGAATGCTTGCATCTTTGAGCTGTCGGTGCCCACACACACTTCGAATCATATGGAAATGGATCAGCTTCAGTAAAGAAGTGAGGCCCCTGACTTTTATACTCTGATTGCAGTAACTATACCTTTAGCAACGACTTGTGCTTATGTTGTAGTCTATTCCGATTGCGTGGAAAGTTCATTTACACATGATCTCCTTTGTTTGCGCCAAGGTAATAGCAATGTTTTGTGCGATTTAAGTTGAATTTGTATAACCGCAGCTGTGTATCCAATGTGGGCACTCACCGTTTGTGAAATAGTGGCCGAAAGGTTGTACTTGGTACTTGACCCTGCACCTGTGATTCCTTGAGCTCAACGCTGAATACCTGCTCTTTCTAAGCGTGGCCTCAGAGGAAAGTCTAGATAAAGGATAAAGGTACAGATACTTTGATGTCAGTTTAAGAATTGATTGCTCTGCACCAGTTGTGTCACATTACGAGAGCTTGTGTCTTGTTTCACGGCCTTTCTACAGTAATTTTCTGAACCAGAAATTCTAAGAGGTTTGCCGTTTGCTGATGGAGTGGTGCATTTTGACTGTATCTGTGTACATATGATGGTGTTCAGTATTGAGGGCGTGGAGTTTTAGCTTAAGGATGGCTTGAGTAAGGCACGGTTATCATGCATTGCTCGCCGCTGTGTGCATCTAGATTCCATTGTGTGCGTAACAACACCTGTTATTATACGGAGTAGCGGAAGCAAGATCACGTTTACCTACGTGTGTTCGTAGCTGTGAGCCGACAATAGCATTTGTACTGAACCGACGTGTGTTTTAATATATACTGCAGAAATAAGTATTTTTATTGTGTAAAGATAAATTTAAGGAGTGGTAATAATAACCCATAAGGTGTGAATGATTTTCCCACCTCGTCAAAAATTATATACTCGTAACTAAAAATTAATATGCAAACGACAGCGTATGAATTGTTGTCAGTGTCCCAGCTCATGTCTCGACGTCAACATATGAAAATGGATTACGTCATTGTACCGCCGTGGGTACAAAACATGGGTTATAAAAGATTTGGTAATGATGGGTGTGCATTCAGACTTTCCTAGTCAGCAAAGTTAGCAAATGAAATTGAAATCCATGAACCTTACTATATTCTAGCCAGTTATGGTGACAGATTCAGTGCCGGTATCATAACATCGTGCCATTCTAACACCATTCACACCCAGGTGAAAGGCTCCATCAGTTCACGATTATCATGTCACAGTGTGTATCGCTCTATCATGCATGCTACGTGTGTCTGTTGACATTTCCTCCCCTCACTGGCCGTCGTTGTATGCTATCATCCTTACTCTCCCTGAAGCTACCCTAAGCTTTGCTGACGACAGTCGAGCGGTCCCTCTTATGACCCGCATGATGATAGGTCAATTGGTATACATATACCGCCTTGGGTCATTCGTGCGAGACGCAAAAACCTTCACGCTGTGTTGTAGCGGAAGTGTTACTCTAGTGCCCCGTATGTGTGGGAATCGTTACGCATTTACCCCTTTACCCTGCCGGGGAGCGGAAGTGCCCCTCCCTGCCATTGACCATTTAGTTCATAGCCGCCCACACCTACCCCGATCCGCCTGACCGCGTGAGAGAGTCTGGCACCGGGCGAAAGGTCGAAATAACTCGCACCGTGACGTGTCGCGGCTGGCCGGCAGCCAGGCCGATAGCTGGCCCAGCTGCCAATTGTGCCCGCCGGCGTGGTCGCCGCAGACCACCAGTTCCGGGCGCCATCATCGAGCGTGCGGCGATCCTATATACTTATCAGTAGGAGGGCGTTCGAAATTTTTATATGAAGTCTTACAAATGTGGTTATAACCATAAAACTATGCCTATATATCGCTGTCCCTATGCCTATATATCGTTGCCTCGAGATATGGTTCTCCCTGTGTCTTTGACATGCGCAATAAATAGCTATCAATGGGCGCCCTGAAGATTCTTCTAAACGTGTTCACTGTTCATGTAATCTGTCATTGTCATTCGTTGTGTCGCAGTTGATAAGGTCTTTACTGAAGAATTGATAATATAATATGGTGTAAGGTACTGATGTCTTGCACTGCTATCTGCCACGATGGGATAAGTCAACAAGCCTGCTATCAATCGGGTAGTGTATTTGGTTAGGCAGGCCCTCAGGGTGACCCTTCACAGCATAGATAACCCCGGATGTATTGCGCGCCCGGACGGACCCTGTTGCGCATGTTCACAGCAGACATCTTTGTGCTCGAAATGTGCGCAAGATGCGCAGCCGTGGCTGCCGTAGTCGATCAAGGCACTTTACGACTCGTTTCATCAACGCCTCCACGCCAATTTGCCATCCACAATTCAGTGCCGATCTCACTTAAAAGTTCGATATGTTCGACAAAAATCACTCGACTAGTGTGCTCCCAGCAATAAGCTCGGACGGCATTGTCCGTAACGGGTTGGCAGAACAGGGAAGACATTACACAGCGTTCGTTCTCTCCCATCTGTTCCTTTCGTATCACTTAATCAGCATCGTTCGTCTATGTTAGGGCGCCAGGTGCTCTGTCTCAACAGGCTGGCCATCTCTTCCTGACAAGCCTCGTACGCCACTGTACTCGCCGTTTGCTCACCGTGAACTCGCTCATCTCCATGCACATCGCCTTCATCTCCTCACCGCACTCCGCGCACCACCGAGTGTCTATTTCCACCGCATTTTCGCGCACCACCGGATGTCTATTTCCACCACCCGCTCGGCGCTCGGCGTCGGCCGATGAGCTGCGCGATAACGGGCACCACTCACAACACCCTCTGTTTATCTGAATCGTCGGGCTCTTGGCGTCGTCTCCGGCACCCACGCCCATCTACTTCCGGGGCTTGGCGGCGGCCGTCAGGCACGCCACGTACTGGTTCTTGAACACCACGGGTGCCTCGTGTTCGTTCAGGAAGTTCTGCTGCGGCCGCGTGCTGCGGTAGGGATTCTTCCTGGGCGGCAGCAGGACGTCCACCTTCTGCTCCTGCTCGATGCGCGCCACGTCCTGCGGACACTCGAGCAGCGTGTAGCCGCTGAGCACGAGCGGCACGCCGTCCCGCACCAGGTACGGGATCGTCTCGCGCCACGTGTCGCGCCGCTGGTGGCCGGCGAACCGGTGCAGGCCGGCGTTGAAGGCGGCGATGACGTCCGGCGGCCGGAACTGCGGGCTGCGGCAGTACGTGTGGTAGGCGGTACTCGGCTGCAGCTCGCACGTCAGTCGCCGGCCGGCGGCGCGGCACGCCGCAGACGTGAAGTCGTGCTGCGTGACGCCCGGCCGGCCACCGGCTGCCTCCAGCTCGAGGCCGATGAACACCACGTGCAGGCGGCGCAGGCGCGGCAGCAGGTGCAGCAGGAAGCTTCCCCAGCGCCCCAGCGGGTGGCAGTCGGTGGCGTGCTCGGCGCCCACCACGTGCACGGTCAGCTCGGTCCGCTGGCTGATGTGCACCTCCTCGGCGACGGGGATGTTCTGTAGCGCGAACAGCAGCGTCAGCGGGTACGAGGCGTAGTCGGTGAGCACGGTCAGCGGCACGGGTCCGAGCGCCATGGCGCGCTGCGGTCCCAGCAGACTGACCACCAGCAGCTCCCTGATATGCGGCGGCAGCATCTCGTACTCTGAGAGCACCGTGTCCGGCAGCGGCGGCTCGCACACGCCGTGCGAGTTCTGGTAGCTGTGGATGTCCAGCAGCGTGCGCAGGTCCTTGCAGTACTTGGAGTGGTTCTTGCGCAGGTGGTCCTCGGAACAGAAGCTGACCGAGTGGCAGTTGGCGCACGTGTGTAGCTTCTCCGGGTTGGTCTCGTGGCACGTATCGCAGGCTCGCGGGTACAGGAACATCTCCTTCTCGTACGCCGCCATCGGACGACCAAGCATCTCTTCACACACGGCCATGTGCTTGAAGCGGATCTTCTTCCACTGTTCCGGGCTGGGGACGTTGAGCGCCTCTCGATAGATGTGGTCGGTGCCCAGATATCGCACTCGACGTGTGATGACCTTGCAGAGGGCGCGATGCATCGGCCAGTGTGCTCGCTGGTGCTCTGCTGAGCAGTACGCCACCAGCCGGCAGCTGCCGCACGACTTCAGACGGTGCTGCTTGGTGTGCAGTCTCTTACACACGTGGCATGCGTGTGCGGTAAAGACAGGACGTGCTGGCAGCATGTCAGCGCCCTGCTGCATCAGAGAGGCGTACGTGCGCCCTTCGTCCTCCGGCAGGAAAAGTGTCCGGTCTGGCAGGATGGGCCGGGAGTTGCTAGGTGTTTTGCCAGCAGGCTTTTGGTCTTCTGCCTTTGCTTCGTTCGGAAGAGAGCTGGTGATAAGCTTGGTTTTGGGATCAGTCTTTGCTGTTGCTGGTTTGGACTCAGGCTCAGGAACATTAACCACAGCTTCTGCTATGTCTTCCAGCTTGGACTTCTCCTTCACAGGGCTTGCAGGCGCGGCATGTTCAGGACTGGCAGGCGCAGCTTGTACAGGACTGGCAGGCGCGACTTGTACAGGACTGGCAGGCGCGACTTGTACAGGACTGGCAGGCGCGGCTTGTACGGGACTGGCAGGCGCGGCTTGTTCAGGACTGGCAGGCGCGGCTTGTACAGAACTGGCAGGCGCGGCTTGTATAGGACTGGCAGGCGCGGCTTGCACAGGACTGTCTGACGCGGTTTGCATTTCGGTCTGCATTTGTTGCAGCTCTTGTGTCCATGAGGGGGCGACGCTGAATACGGGTGCGCCTGCTAATTGTGCACCTAGTGAATATACGACGCTTGGTTCTTCTGTGAGTTTAATCGGGACATCATTTAGGGTCGTGTCAACCTCCGTTTTTCTTTGGGCTGGCTGCTGCGTCTCGACCAGCTCGCGCTGTGTTTCAGTCAGGTTGTCTGGAGACTCAATTTCGATTGTTATTTTCGACTCGGTTTCTGCCGTATCTGGTTGGCTAGTATCTGTGGATGTATCTGGCTTTTCGACATTTCCTTTTTCAGCCAGTTTGGGTTGTAGATCTTCAACAATAGTGGGAGTATCTGATTTACTCGAAACGTCTTTGTCAGCTGTAGTTGGCCCAGTCTCATGGGGACTGAAAACAGTCTCCGTCAATTCTGTAGTTATTTGATCTGTACACGAGGGTTGTATGGTAGGCGGAGTGGTTGTTTCGCTGTAAGAGGGATGTGCCTGGGATGGAACGCCGGAGTCTTTCGGGGAAGCATCTACGGCGTTCTCCTCTAACGGTTTGTGTAAATTATCCTGCACTGGTTCATCGTGTGCCTGTGTTGTTGAAGATGGTTCTGTTTTTGCTTCCTCTGTGTATGTTGACTCGGCTTCCGTGGTGTTTGCGATGTCAGCAGTTTCTTGCTCGGGTACGCATGGAATGATTTGCGTCTCGGTTGGCGCTACCGCCACAGGCTGTGGGAAACTGCTTCCCTCCTTTGTTGGGGTGTCTTTGTCGAGCGTTTCCACGGCAGGCCTGATCGGCTCCTCATGTGCGGGAGGTGTCTGCCGGTCACACGAGGACTGCTGAGTTTCAATGGACTCTGAGCTGCTTTTGCGACCTCCTGATCGCATCTTCTTTTTCCTGCTGCACCGTTTGGTGGCTACCGGTGATTTTGGTACTCCCTGTTCGGTAAACTGAATTACCTCTTCATCCAGCTCCTTGACAGGAACTGTGCCGTCTTCATTGAGGCCCAGTTTTTCGTTAAGCTCCTTTGATGGTGACTCACGCTCTTTCATGTTAGCAGACTCATTTGATTCGTTGGAATTTGAATCATTCTCTTTACTGGCTAGTAGTGGGGTTCCTGGTGTGGTCACAGCAATGTTGGGTGGAAGCTCGC